AAAACAGAATGTTCTAAAAGTATTTTTGGAATACTAGGCTATACGACATTAAGCACGTAAAGATAAACAAAAATCATGTAATTTTCTAAGAAATTTTAATCTGATAAGTATATTTTAAGGTAAATAATACTTTTAAAAAATTCTTCTAGTATTTGCTGTAAGGAATAGATTAATTAATTTTTAACTGATAAAATCTTGGACTGTCTGTAATGAATCAAAGTTTATCAGAGAAATTTTTTGTTTGTTTTTGTTTGTCTCGATGAGCTCAATCTCTTAGTATTGTTTTAGCATATAAAACGCTTGAAGGTAAAAGTTCCGGTAAAGTTTTTTTCATAATTCATGCAAATATGATTTTTCAACATCGGCAAGAATAATCGATGAATTGATGGTACTAACTGACCAATAACCCTTTATACTTAATTGATTTTAAATTTTAAGTAATTGTAAAATTTTTTACTACATACGCATCCGAATCAGGTATATGTTAATACCTTTTTCGATTTCATTATCTTGTTTTAGCTGTATACTAAAATTAAAAAACAATATTTATAGTATATTTTTAATGTTAACGACGTAACACAGCGTTTTTATGAGATAAGAGAAAAACAATTATCTAAAATTGTGAGAGTTACCGTAACAGAGAATTGATTTTTTTAAGCGATCGCTACATGTTTTTCATAATTTTGATCGTAGAAAAGTTCATGTTCAACACTTTAATAAACAAAATCATCAATTGGCACCCGCATAAGTATAAAAAATTTACCTTAGAAATGTACACTGTTAAGGTAGACCAGTAGGTATTTGAATTATTAAGAAAAATAGAGAAAATCTTGATCGGCGAAGAAGTAATTTCCACATCACACGTCCATTTGAAGTTGATCAACAAAAGCTTTTCGTACTTACACCCAACACGGGCATACCAGCACGAGATAGACACATCCATAGACTTTATACACGCGCTATCTTTCATGCAAGTGTACCGATTTACACATGCACATAATAATATGTAATGAATCCCTAGGCCAAACAGGAAATTTTCCGCTCCCCAGCTCCAAGTTGGTACATACATATATATATATGTATATGCTTACCGCATGTATGCATGCATACTCACCGGCATCGGTATACATTTATGTACACACTCGCGTACATATCGTTTGTCCCACGCGATCAGCGGATATTTATCACCTCACTTTATATGTGTATATCGAGGTGTATATCTACTAGCAAAAATCCGAAAGAGCTCAAAAACGCTAGATTCTCAATATTTTTTCTCTCATATTAAAAAAAAAAAAAAAAAAAAAAAAAAAAAGATTGGGCGTGAAAATGATTTTCGTTTGCGTTAATTGTACGCCAAGCTGTTTAGATCGTTTGGAACGAGTCGGAGGAGGTTTCTTTCTAGGCTTGTAATTTCTAATATATGCATGTAGGCCTGATGCGGACAAAAGTTTCGAGTGAAAGTTCAGACCAAGTCATTGGCCTTTACGGCAAAATATGTTGACCACACATTACGATACTCTTTCGGTCGATCGACCGTGTGAAACGATCCCATCATGTGGCATGTAAACAATTGTAAACCTTTTTCTTTCTTTATTATAGTATCGTTCGTCAGATTCACTCAGTATACGAGAAGGTTGGAACCGTGAATTTATAAAATTCATAAGTAAAATGATTAGGGACGGAGGCGGGGGCTACAGGTGCGTTGAGTACGTCTCGGCGGAGATAATATTTCCGACGCGACTCACCTGATATAGAAAATTATATACTTTTTTTTTTTTTTTTAACTTTTTTAAATTTTTAATTATTTCCAACTTATGCTACAGGAAAGAAAAAAACAGAAAGTTCTTTCATTAGTTCAGTCGTAAGGTATAGTTATCGATCTCTTTTTGAAACAAAAAATTCACCTTAAATAGCCACTGTGAAGCGTGTGAAAATTGTCTTTTTTTTAATTTCAATAAAATAATCTTTAGATTCAGCATCCGTAGCAAAAAATGTAAAAACTCACTCATGTATGGACAGATCAAATAAAACGCTGCGGCTCACACTCGTGTTCAACACATCGCGCTTAATCTACTTACCCGCGTGCAGATAAAATGCTAATGCGAAGAGTTGATTGTTAGTTTTACCTTGTGTGTATGTGCAAGTAAAAAAAAAAAAAAAAAANATGTCCGATGCCGATTTATCTGCTTCCAGAACAATGAATGCAAATGCTTGTTGATGTTGTGCTGTCCTCGACACCGCAATCTCGATTTGTGCAAATATTCAATGAAATTTCAATAAAAACGCTGATATTGAACGCGTAAGAGATGAAAGGCTATTTTTATTGTGGAAAAAAAAAAATATTGAAATAAAAACAGTTTGCCATTAAAATTCGATCGGCTTGCGTGTACTTGAGCGAGAAATCGCGATTGTGCAAATGTTATAAAATGATTTCAAGTTTTAAGCGCGTAATCGAGTTAAATCCCAATCTATTTCATTAGAATAATGCACTTTTGAGTGAGCAAACGGCGAAGAAGCGACGATAGAGTTGATTAAGCAAGGCAAGGCTAAAGTGTATGTACTCGCATAGCGTCACCTTCTTTTTCATCGTTTTGCGTCTTCTACTCTTCCTTATCGCTTAACTCACTGTGCCTCTATTAACCATTTGTATCCTCGTAGCGCTTATAAAACACAGTGCTATCATAGATGTGATGGTGACAAAAAGTTATCGTAAAAAAAAAAAAAAAAAAAAAAAAAAAAAAAAAAAAATAGGTACACGTCTCGGCTTCCCCGGGGTCTCTTTTAATCGTCATCGGCCGTCCGGCAGAGAGCGTTATTCGTCGATCCGTCTCTTCGAGCGAACCGCACATATATACGTATATACATATGTATACAACGCCACTCTCGAGAGCTCGAGCCTCGCGCGCGCTCTTTCTCTCATTTTAAATATAACGGTGTATAAATAAGTATGAGCAATAGCGGGAGTACGCGAGGCCTCTCTCCCTCTATACTTATGTATACTTATTGCGGCGGCAAGCGTTGCAACTTTGGAAGAGGAGAAAAAGAAAATAACACACACACCCATATACGATATATGAAAAAAAAAAAAAAAAAAAAAAAAAAAAAAAAACACCCCCCCAAATAAGAAAAAAAAAAAAAAAAAAAAAAAAAAAAAAAAAAAAGAAGAATTATATTTTACCGTGCCGAGTATTTTACACGTGGTAGCTGCCCGTCCGGTGGATGCCCTCCCCATCCGGAACCTTGATACAGCGGTTTCTGGAATACGATGACCCTGGCTCCCCTCTACTTTAGCGGAATATGTGCAGGTTGTCCTCTCTCTCTCCCCTACACATGTATACACTTGGCGAATGGTGGGGAGGATGGGGGTGTAAATCTCGCCTCCACTTTTTTTTTTTCACGCATACGGTACCACATATACGCACGGGCACGCCTGTTTTATTTGTTGTGCTGGGGTCACGCTCGTGACGCGGCCGATTGGGCTTTGGCGTCTCTGATGCCACCTCTTTGGGGTCAGTTTGAATCTCTCGGGAGGCGCTCTCTATCTCTCTCTCTGTAGCCGAGGTGGGTACAAACCGCGTACAACACGCACCTTTTGCCTTTTGTTTTGCAAACTCGATTTTACTTCGCGTTTGCGGAGTGTTTTTATTCTTTTCGTTTCTCCACTCACGATCGGTTGTTTTTTTGAAGATCGTGGTTTTTTGTGCACAGGTGCGCGCGCGCGTGTGTATACCTATTTTTTAAGGACTCTTTGAGTGTGAGTTGTGCCGGGAGACGGAGAGGAGTCTCGGGCGGCCGCGATCATAAGTATACTGTATTCGTTCTAAATTTAAGTAACAAGTTCAAGCTCTCCCTCTGTCTCTGTTTTTTTTTTTTTTTTTTTTTTTTTTTTTTTTTTTTTTTTTTTTTTTTTTTTTTATCTTTTTTAAATTTTTAATTATTTCCAACTTATGCTACAGGAAAGAAAAAAACAGAAAGTTCTTTCATTAGTTCAGTCGTAAGGTATAGTTATCGATCTCTTTTTGAAACAAAAAATTCACCTTAAATAGCCACTGTNTTTTTTTTTTTTTTTTTTTTTTTTTTTTTTTTTTTAAGAATCCGCTCGAGCGACATACACTTCGTTCTCTGTGTCACGGCGTGGTATCTAAACCGAAAATTATAAATAACCACTCAATAACGCAAACAAAAATATTTCTCCCGTGCTCCCGCAGATAATTCACTTTCGTTTGCATCCAAGCGCGCGTGGGTGTGGTGTTTTATTATTATTTTCATTTTCTTCGTCGCTGGTGATTAAAAGCGCGTCAGTTGTGTAAAAAAAAAAATACGCACAAATAGTACACGTGAGGTTGTGTCACCCACACGTCGCCACGAATTCTCGAGTTAAGGGCATCCTCTCACGTCCACACCCGCGAGTGTCTTTTGATCTATTGGGTTCGGTCTTGTCGAAATCCACGCCCGGCTATCCGTGCGAGTCGAATTGCATCAACTGGACGGCGTTCAAGTATTTTCGAAGGCGCGCGGGCATTAGGCAACTCTTATGTCAGCGGAGTTCGACGATTGCTTTTGAATATCTTGTGTATGCGCAATTAATTACAATCCACGCACGCGCATTTGTACGGTAAAATTTCTTTTTTCAATACATTTGTACTTGTGTATGCATTGATTTCAGCTTAACTATTTTCGTGCACTCGCGCACTGGTTTGTAATTACTTTTTTTTTTTTTTTCTCAACGAATTAACGGTTAACTATAGCGGATATCGAGGGAATACGATTTTTTTTATTACAATAAATATAAGTATGCAACATTTGGCTACATCCGTACACTTATAGATATCGTTGTTTTGTTTGTATGTATATTTTAAGAATTTGATACAAATACATGTCCGATGCCGATTTATCTGCTTCCAGAACAATGAATGCAAATGCTTGTTGATGTTGTGCTGTCCTCGACACCGCAATCTCGATTTGTGCAAATATTCAATGAAATTTCAATAAAAACGCTGATATTGAACGCGTAAGAGATGAAAGGCTATTTTTATTGTGGAAAAAAAAAAATATTGAAATAAAAACAGTTTGCCATTAAAATTCGATCGGCTTGCGTGTACTTGAGCGAGAAATCGCGATTGTGCAAATGTTATAAAATGATTTCAAGTTTTAAGCGCGTAATCGAGTTAAATCCCAATCTATTTCATTAGAATAATGCACTTTTGAGTGAGCAAACGGCGAAGAAGCGACGATAGAGTTGATTAAGCAAGGCAAGGCTAAAGTGTATGTACTCGCATAGCGTCACCTTCTTTTTCATCGTTTTGCGTCTTCTACTCTTCCTTATCGCTTAACTCACTGTGCCTCTATTAACCATTTGTATCCTCGTAGCGCTTATAAAACACAGTGCTATCATAGATGTGATGGTGACAAAAAGTTATCGTAAAAAAAAAAAAAAAAAAAAAGAAAAAAATACAATTTTCTAAATGTTTGAGTTTAGAGGTCATGCTAATTTTAAAAAAGCTTTCCACTACTTGAACCGTATCTTAGTTACTTTAAAACGTGACAAACGTATAATTGACACGGTATTAACGATTGAGTGTTGTGTGATACAATGAAAAAAAAAATTTCATCACCAAAATCGTCTATTTATGTTCAATAGTTTACCTTAACTGTATGGATATAGCAACTTACTCGAATTCGATAATTGCGATAAAAAATTTATAATGTATCTCATGCAATATACTTTGCGCATACATTCTATTTATGAGGTACAACAGTGTAAGCGTGTGACGTTACTGTTAAAAGTGATCACAAATTTAAAAAAAAAAAAAAATTTTTTTGTAGTAGGTACACCGTTGATTTTGCATGTACACATTTTTACACAATCTATAGTTTTTTAATAATGATGATGTCAGTGAGCAAACACACACGCGATATTTCAGACTCTCTTATCGGTTTCATATTACGCTCATCGCTGAGAGCATACAATTTCATATTATTTTTAGTTCAACATCTGTCCTGATTAAACTTTTTTTTTTCCCCCTCGGTATACCACCAAAATCGTAAGTTTAATCGTCTCTTCTTGAATAATGTTTACTTACTTTGTTTTAGACGAAAATTCCACGCCAAAAAAAATCTTATGGCTGTTTGTAGTGTTATTATGGATATTAAAATCACAAAACAACGTTTGCACGATACGTTGACTTGCTTTCCGTTAAATTTCTCAAAATTACAGTTCAAACCGAATGAATTTTAAATACAGGGCTCAAAAAAATCAGTGTTAAAGATAAAGAGTTTTCAAAAACTGTCAGTATAATACCTGTTGCTGCTATCATTTATGAATTTTTAGAAAAACTCGATTATATTTTGCGGTGTACCGATAAGGACAACAGAATTATACATTGCAAATTATTCCCCGCGTTTCGTTAACGATTTTTTTGATTTATTATAATCCATACATAAGCCATCAGTTCCTGTTTTACAACAAACAATTTTTTTTATAACTTTTCAAAGTTTAGATTCCGATAATCCTATTATCCTCGATGCTCGAAGAAATCCTGAAGAATCGGTTCTACGTTCCGTCTCTCGAAGGGAAAAAAAAGCCACTCGAACTCTGTCATTTCCCTCAGATTTGCGTGACTTGCTTACTCACAGCGAATGATGATTTTTTTCTTTCATTGTATTTCAGGCTAGTAGAAAAAGAAAAAAGAAAAAAAAAAAAACATCATTGTGCCAGTAGTAGCAGTACAGTAACAAAAAGAGGAGGAAAAATGCCGCATCTCACGGAATCGACTCTTTGCCAGGCGATCAACAAGGACACCGACACGATGCTCAAGGAGCTGTTCTTGTTCGCCACCCAACTAGCGTGTCTCTACAAGCAGGGGTGAGTTCTCCCGCGTGGACGCATTATTATATACACCATTATTGATTCCATGGCGCCTCCAATGTCACAAAAGTTAATAATACGTCTTGCGGTGAAAGCCCAGTGCCATTATTACATATACTTGTTTCAATTGACAAAAATCACGCTTCTGTATGGTTGTCCTGTACGATGAAAAAAAAAGAAAAAAAAAAAAAAATAAAAGAATAAATAAATAATCGTCACGGAGTCTATGTAATTGCCGTGAGACATACGCGTATAATTAGTAGAAGCGCGGCGCGTATCGATATTCCGCAGCAAAGGTAAATACACGCACCCAGCGTATATTATATGTACGTGTATAATCAACTGCGTATTGCGGTAAATTAGTATACAGCCGGTAACTTTTACTGAATCGATCGGCCGGCTGCTTCGGCGGCGTGACATCACCACCCGGTTAATTTGTGTCCCTCATCACTGCAGTGCTCGAAAGTCACTCACTCTCGGCTCAACGATTTCTGCGGGGGGTTTGTTTTTTTTTTTTTTTTTTTTTTTTTTTTTTTTTACTTTTGCGGTTTTTACTGGTGATGTGTGCGGGTCGCGTCATCGTTTAAAATAGTACATTTTTTTTTTCTTTCTTTCATTTTGTTGAAATTTTCGCTCGACCGTGTACACGCGGTACTTTGACTTTCGTTCAAGTGTATACATACACCTGAACTGGATCCGATGATCGACAGGCTTGGGCACAATTATTTTACAGATTTTAAACTCTTTGGAACGAAATTGCGTTTTTGTTGCTGAGAAAATTTTTTATTCGTCACTATTTGCGATGCAAATCTCTTTTTTTTTTTTTTTTTAGATCGTATGAGAGCAATGCATTGTAAATGTCAGAATTGATGGGAAAAGTATTTGAAATCAAACCTTTAACTGGTTTTTCTACATTATTTTTTCTTTAAATACGTTATTCATCGTTTAAACATAATTGATTTATTACATTTTTAGCGTGAAATTGTATCGCGAAAAGTATGTGCCCATCGATGAACGCCAAGGGCGAACAGTGGCGCGTGATGAAAATCGATAGTTCAGCGTACGTGGATACATACTTATTTATACTGATCGAAATAGTGCACAGAATGAGGGTTTTTAACAACCGCTTCACGACCATACCTTGTGATTGTCCGTGTTCATACTGCAATGTTACGTCCCTTCGTCCTCACTGCACCTCTTAACCACGAGTTAACCGGCCACTTTTACACGCAACTGTCGTACGCAATTATTTTATGATCCGAAGAGATCGCAGTTATCTCGAATAACGTCAAGGTATGAGCTCTAACATGCTGTGTTGCAAAGTCCCTGTCTCCCACCACGATGAAAAAAAGGCCAATGTGCTCTATATCATCAACTGAGCAGAGTATACCTACATCTCTCTGTTGCAGGCGAGGAGCGTCAGTGCATCAGACATGAATGCGAAGTTATACCCTAACCATGTTCAAGCGTGGATTGTTTTATTTTCCTGTAAAAGGATTTGATATTCGAAAGTACGTTTTTTAACACCTTGTAACTACATGTTTTTTGTATGTATATCTATATGGATTGTTGGCGCTTTCTTTTTTTTTTTTTTTCCTTTAGTTTTCACTTGATTTGCACATTTAGATTTTGGCACTCTTTTTTCATCGAAAGAGAAACCGCAAAAATATCAAATCCTAATATTTGCATCAAGTTTTCCTTCAATATTGTAAATGTATACATAATCTTGTATGTTGGCATATTTATTTAAACATTTGTGTGTGTGTGTGTGTGTTAAATGGATATAATATATGTATGTACATGTGTGTGTGCACTTACACATCAGGTCGAATAACATTATTTGCTCGTCACCCTCGTCGTGTTTGAGAAACAAACTGAAACAAAGTGGGCATACATGTCAACATTGTCGTGACTTGGACGCATAATTGTAATAAACCGCGCTTCCGGATTGTTAAGGTTTCCAACATTCGTCCAGTCCGTTTCGTTAAGGTTTTTTGGTTACTGTAATTCACGAATTTACATATACTTACGGAGTAAAAAAAAAAAAAAACGATAAGATATCCTATCAGTCTCGGTGCTTTGCAGCAGAAAAAGCTAGCTCGTGGCTGTACATAATATATATTATTACTTACCACTACCAGATGGTTGATCAAAAAATAAAAACCTTCGACCGTTCGGTATAACGTATTCTCGCACACGAGCTCACGCTATACAATGCGGTCTTTGTCTAGTTGTGCCACAACAAACGATAAATAAAGTCTTTCGAAAACGGTCGAGCTGTACATACTCGTTTCGCGATTCATTAAAAAGAAGAAAAAAAAGCACACGTTAATCTCATACACCTACCATTAATAAACTGTCTATTATCGCTAAAAAAAAAAAACCTAAAATCTCTGTAGTAGCCACGTTCACCGCACGCACACGCATTTTGTACATTACATCATCACCATATATACATTACATTCCCATGAGCTTGAGCCATTTTTTATTTCACTTTTTTTTTTTGCCCTCGCAAACACCATATCCGTATCTCGCTCCTGCGGGAGTACACATGATATACTTGTAGTTGACAACGAGAGATGTATATTCTATTTCTGACTCGTTTCCAATTTTTTTTTTTTCGTTTTCTTTTTTAGAGTATCTGTTCCTATGAGCACCTCTTGCTCGATACACTGTGATGGAAAGGACACTGTCAAGGCTGGCTCAAGTACGTTTCGTTTCACTTGTCCGCATTGGACAGTCACATGAAAATATGCTGGCTATTCGATGTACCTTTTTTCCCTATCTTGCTCTCGATATTTTTAAGGCTCTTCCTTCGTTTTTCTTAATTTTCATTTTTTTTTTTCCTTTGATTCTCTCGGGCGCGTCAACAGAGAGGATGGCGTACGAGGTGTTCCTGGGAGGATCGTGCAACCCCACCACCTGGAGGACCGACATCGCCATCCCTACGCTTCAGAGCCTCGGCATCACCTACTACAATCCCGTGAGTGAGACCATTCATTTATTACCGATCATTTTAATCGTATATTTATACTCTATCACGAAGGAGGTGAGAATTCATCACCGTCTCGATTTTAAGTTGCGATTCAGCGTCGACGATTAAACTTTTTCGTTGAATCACCGGTGCGCGCTGATACACACTTGCGTGTATTTCAAGGAGTGAACAAAAAAGACCGCAACGCGTTTCCTCGTGCTTTTTTCACACCCCGCGAGTAAAACTCATTTAGCCCGATTTACTGTATATGCCGGATACCTTCAGAAATGGGGGCATTTATTTCTTCCGTTGCCCAAAAAGCGCGCGCGTCCTTCCGCTTGCCTTATATATATAATATTTACACACGAATCGAAGTTCACACGCAGTCTCGTGGTGGCATTGCCTTCGAGTGTATTTTTTTTGTTGTTTTTTTTTTGTTTTTTTTTGTTCAATGCTAGGCTACACGCATGTTTTATACGTGTCACCGCGAGCCGAGGTAAATGTTGACAAGAGGAAAAACTATAAATATACAGAGTAGTGTAGAGCCCCTGCTCGTGTGCAAATTTTGTGTTATCGACCTCATTGAGCGCGAAAATAGAACGACCCGAGCGATAATTATTCGTTTGTTTATTTACAAAGACACCGCTATAGCAATTAAACCGCGATGTGGAAAATGGGGCTCCCACAAAAATGAGTAAAATGCCATTATAGGCCATTTTTTTTTTCACCCCCTTCTGGAATAATTTAATCAACCCCTGCAAGGAGATTCGTAAAGTCGGTCCGTTTTTATTCGTACAAAAAAAAAACAACATACTACATAACGGGAATACGTAGACGAGCGCCATGAAATATCTTCTCGAAATGGGTATAGCATCCCGATTAACCGCGCGTGCTCAAATGACGCTTGAAAAGTAAAAGCAAAGAAGAAAAACGTGTAAGTATAAAACTTGAGTTATTTTGCAGCAAGTATCGCACTGGAGCCCGGAGCTCATCGCCCAGGAGTACGAGGCGAAGGAGACGGCGCGCGTTTTGCTGTTCGTCATCGACGACCGAACGCGCAACTGTGCCGGCATCATCGAAGCCGCGGAGTTGGCCGGCACGAGGAGGGACTCCCTCATCGTCGTCGTGCACCCGTACAGGCAGGGCCAAACCATCTTCGGCGAGGTCGTCTCCAATCAGTGAGTATGACTTTTTTTTTTTTTCCACTTGTACCACTGGTGGCTCGGGAGGATGGGCGAGAAGAGACAAACGAGAGAGTTACAAGTATAGCCGATTTTTTCGAGCAAAGCTTCGTCATTGAGAGTTAAGTGAAAAAATGATGGGTTTGCTTGCGGTAGGGTTTGTCAGTTTCGGCCCCTGGTGTTTTTTGCATACCATCGTACATTTAACCAAATTGTTTTTTGGGTGTGTGGGTGATCTCGGTAGGTGCGCGTGTATAAACATAAATTGAAAAATCGCCGTGTATCTTGGGCCCGAGAATTAAGAACACACTTGTCTTTTTTCCTAGGACAATTTGGTAGAGTATAATAGCTATGTTGAATTGATATGAAAACACTAAAGAAAATTTTAAGAAAATAAAATTTTTACATTGTATAAATAGTTCAGCTCGTATAATTTATATTGATTTGACAGCCCCAATTTAAATTTTAGCAGATGAAAAAATGAGAATCACAGACGTACAATTCATGAAATTTATTGAAATCCAGTTAAATTAAAAAAAAAAAAAAAAAAGAAAAGTATTGTTTGAAAGTAGTAGGCCGGTTTGACAAAGGCGACGATCAAAATAGCCGAGTACATACGTCGCGTCGGAAAAATAATTCATAAACGTTCACGTTGTATTTCGTGTCACACCAGATTGGTTCTACATGTATACACGTATTATTTGTTTATTTACAATAATAACTCACGATGGCAAGTGGCAATTCTTTCTTGGCCCAAAATAAAACAACAAGTAAAAATACAACAACTAAGAAACAAGATACATCGTTTGGAACGAACAACAAAAAATAAAAGGAAAAATAAAAACAAACGATTTATTTTGATGACATCGATACGAGCTGAAAGCATTTCAAACGATAACCTCAGCAAAATTGATTCGAGAGGGTTTCTGCCAAAAATTCGGAACGAGGGTACTTCCGATCCTCGAAGGTAAACGTACAAAGGAGCGCGACTCCATATTAACTGAAGTAAGCGGTACAAGCGGTAGTTTTTTTTTCCTGAGAAAGACATCTTTTACCACTGAGGAATCCTTTGAATCTATTCCAAATTGCCTTTGGTAAATTCAGGATTACTTGAGGGGTGGATATGGAAAAAAAATAAAAGGGATGATTGTAACGAAATCACGATAAAAATTGAAAAATTGTTTGCACAGTAGAAAAACCTAATTTGTAATAATGAGGGACGAAAAAAAAAAAAAAAAAAAATTATTTTTTCCAATCAGGTACGGCCACAACTTTTTTCCAAAAAATGTTTATTGTTAATCCTTGATTCCATCAAACTCCCTGTACTATGCTCCATATCATGCTATTTATCAACGTCGTCGGAGAAAATCGGGATCTCGAAGTATTAAATTTGTGCTGTGTATAGGTATCGGGGCAAACAAACTCGTTGGACGATCAGTAAACTTTGGATAATGTTTATCCGGAGATAAGAGAATCTTACCCAGAAAAGATTCAATTTTATCTCAAAGAACAATAGTGTAAGACCTTTAAACTCCGTATACACGTACACAATAAACTTGAAATATCCACAGATTCACACGGCAAGCAGTTGAACCGAGGGTTATTGGCTATAGATAAATCGTGCGTATCATTGAATCTGAAAACGATCAAAAATTTATCTAAAGGTAACGAGTTATCCGAGAGTACCACCCCCTTTATTAAAATTTCCCTTCCCTCTCCGACGGCGAGTTTCACAAACGAACGAGACTTGAATTATTGAGATACCAGCAGCACAGGCACTCGGCGCTGCCAAAACGTACGTCGCGTCGAAGCTTCAGGGAGGGTTGTCGATAAAACCCACCGATGATCGTGTATACGTGCGCGCACGCGTTTATGACATTATATGGCCAAAAAGGCTATTTCGAGCGGATCATCTTCTGGTCCGGCTGTTATTTTAGAAACAGGAAATCTCGTCCGTGTATCCATCCCCGCGTATTACAATAACCATCCACATACTTATTATGACGTATCACACGAGCGCGAGCCAACAACGTGCAATTACGTAGCTGTTAGTTCTTGATAAAATCAAAGATCTCGAGGGCACTTTTCCTTTATTGCGAGCGTGTAGATTTTCATATTTTTTTTTTTCTTTGTTTTTGTTTTTTTTTCAGTACAATCCAAGTGTTGTCGACACGTGAGGGAAAGGTGGGATCGAGAAATAGATGTTTTTGTTTTGCGGACGCGTGCCCGGGGTAGAACGCAATTTTTAAAAATAATTATTCTTGCATGGCGCTATATCTCCCTGTCTGTCCGTCTCTTCTCTTTCGGCTCGTTTTATTTATACACAAGTTTATATGTGTATAATGTAAAGTAATCGCGGGTAATTTTTTCTCGCTGCTTAAATAGAAAAATTTCTCTTAAAATAAGTAGCTTATTTTTGGGTATCGTTTACCTAACTTCTTTTATTTCGATGTAATTATTTTTAAATAATAGCACCAAATGAGCGGACAAACGATTTTATTTCTTTCAGGGAGTACTGTGAACTGATGAACGGGCTCCTGGTGCTGCAGTGTCTTATGGATCGGCAGAGGATACCGATTTTCGAGAGCATATCAGCCGCCCTCAATTGTACGTCCAAGGTGAATTGCTCATTGTTTACTTGATTGTAACTCACGAGACTTGATCGCTTCTCTGTTTTCTCTAATGTTTATCGTGTATAATGAAAAATTCGACTTCTTTTGTCTCTCTCATCCCATACACCTACAAATTTTAAAAAATCGGCAATACCAACTGACAGTTCTGTTGTTTCATCAAAAGATTCTACGCAACGCAGTCAACGTTCAAGATTTGCATGGCGAGGACGGAATCAGGCCACCAAGAATCTCATTCGGTCAACACGGAACTGATGTCACGTACGTATACTTGCACTACCCCCCCCCTTTTTTTTCTCCTCTGTGCTCCTTTCGGCACTGGAAAATGACTCATACGTAATCATCTCAAACTCGATTCGTTTGTTTTTGTTTTCAGCAAGCTTAGGGAAGCCTTTAAAGCTTTGGACACTAATTTAACGGGCACGATAAGCTTGGCTGAGGTAAATTTTAATTTTAAACCGTGATTTATGTATTTCTTATCCGGTGATCTTATGGTAATTGGGGAAAATTGTTTTTTTTTTTTTTTTTTTTTTTCTTTTTATTCGCAGGCTTTGATGGTACTGCAAAGCAACGGGAAGAACAACTTGACGGTTTCCGAGCTGCGCAACGTAGTTAACGAAGCTGGTACGTTGGCTCTTTCGATTATACGCTTACTCGACATATCTATTATAGAAGATACCGACTCGAATAGAGGATGATTGAAATGCAAACGGCATTGAGAGTATCAAATGAGAGATTTTTAGCTAAAAAGTTGACAATGTATGGATGTAACGATTGTTTATTTGTAATGGGTGCATCTGTCGCGTAAATATTTATCGTGAAAAACCAGAGATTTTGCAGAAACTGTTGTTACAGATGTTCAGGATAAAACGATGATGGATAAATTGTCGAGCAACGGCGAGGCAAAGGAACAGCGCATAAATTTCGAGCAGTTTTGTGCGATCGCTAGCGAGTGGTCGTGGCGTTTCAAGAGCAACGGAGTCAACTGCGAAAGTGAGATACCTTCGGTTTGGCGTATATTGTGTAGGAAGGCCTCAAAGTTTCTGCGCAGAGCTTTCGTGCATCCTATTAATCGTTTTATAGGTATTTTTAGAAAACAGTGACGAATAGCCGCAATCTGACGAAATTAACTCTAGTTGCATATTGTCAATGTCGTCGACTACTATTATTACTTTTTATTCCACTTTTTTTTTTTTTTCTAGAGTAAATTAATTTTCACGATTAAAATTAACGCTTTGGTCGTTAACTATATTGTTACATCGCTCAATTTATTTGTCTCGCAACATCAATGCTAAAAAAAATAACAATTTCACTACTGCCGCTTTATTTTTTATTTCATTTACGAAGCACGCGCAGAAAAGTTGGAGACACATGATGTCGCATGCCTTGATGCTTGATTTAAAAAAAAAAAAAAAAAAAACTATACCTCATAAAACTAAACTTAAACGTAATTGTGTTGATTCAGACTGGACCAATACAATAATAGCGGATTCCGAGAAAAAGGATCTCTACATCGGCGTCGTTGGTAAGGATTTGGTATGGCTAGAATCATCGGCAGTGCCATTAGTCGAGTGAGTATCAGTGGTTGCAGATATCGTTATTGCATTTATTACCAAAAATGACACTCCTAATCGAAACCACGGCTCGTGCGTATTTTCTTCAGGTCCATGAACTTAACTCTGTATCGTCCAAGTACAAACGAGTACATTGCTCGAGTATTACCTTTGGAGTTGCAGCGCATGAAGAACTCGAGATTGATAATGCTGGTGGTGCCACAACACACGCGAGGCATGGCTATAATGGCACTTGCCGCACACTTGATCGGATTGCGCGCTAAACTCGTTCTTTGTGTTCAAGCTCTTCCCGAGGGCTGTACCGTGTCTGGCGAGAAGGTGAGGCCTCGCACCGAAAATGATAATTTAATTGAATTTAATTATTAAAATACACATAATTTCTTGCAGTTGACGGAACAAGCAATTAAAGACTACAATAGGGGTAGAATGTACTTGTCGGACATGGCGACGCGTGAAGGTGTACCTGTTTTTGATAACGTCAGCGAGGCGCTGCAGCGAGCGATACACATCGTCCGAAGTCCCTGCTGATTCGAGGAAGAGCGGAGGGGACATCTCTGAGCTGTTTTTATTTTTATTTTTTTCTAACCAATCAATCGTGCAACCCTCACGTGCACCTAAAAACGAAAGCGTAAGCGAAAAACCATAAAAGTATACAATATCTGGCGCTGCGGAATAATTCTATACATATAGGTACCAAGGAAAAACACTAATTTATTTTTATGCGAACCACACCCTTTTTTCCAATCCTACGATCATCCAATCTTGATGACTACGTCAATCTCTCTCTCTAAAAACGTTATTTTAAGTAGCGCGTTAGGATGTAATGAGATAGTATATAACTTGCGCGTATACAGATCCCTTGTTGAAATTCAACGTTACGCATAGACGGTTTTTAATCGAGACTTGGTGAAAATACAATTTAAGCTGTAACATTTTTAATTTTTTCGTGGATTCATCGATTACACTTCTTGTACATATAGCTGTATTATCAATTAATGCTAAAATGATTAAATGGATTCATTATTTCATTTTTGATCTGAGAAGGAGCGAAAGTGAGCTTGTAAAAAGGTACGTTATCTCTGTTGCGGTGAAGAGACAAACGAAAATATACCCGGTGACAAATATTACTTTCGTTGTATGAAAAAAAAAAAAAAAAAAATGTAATCTCAAAATAATATATTATATACTTTACCGTGAATATTGTGTTGTTAAAATAACGTCGTCGATGTCATGTGTACTATATTCGTGCGATTCTTAGGACGTATTTCTTTTTCAGTATCCGTTCTAACATGCTTACAATAATATTTCTCAGACTTGATTTCCGTTTCTAAAATGTGAATTCACGGTACACATATTTTCTTTTTCGGTTTACTTTTTTACTGTTTTACAAGTTCATTGATGTGTTAAGTGTCTTGTAAAACAACAAAATAAATCTTGTAAACATCAGCATTTAATGTATTGTGTAAAAAGTAAACCGTTTTCAATTATTGTTCAAACAAGGCTTCACACTGAACTTAATAACTAATTAGGTACTTTTTTTTACCTTTGATTATAATTTGTAAGCGACGATAATTGTGAAACAAGCTTTTTATATTTTATTTGTATCAAATAATAAAAAAAATATAAAAAAGATAGATAATCATCCAGATGATTTCAAAATTATTGGGACATTTTTTTCAGAGGAATCAAAGTCGACGAATATGCTGTGAAAGGAAAAAAAAAATTTGTGAACGAATGAATTTGATTACGTAGTGTAAATCTATTTTTCTTTCTGAGATTGAAGTTTACACTTTTCAACAAAAAAGAAAAAGTTTTAAGTAACATTTTTCTACTAATTCAATTAATGACACACAAATTAACGAACGTCCATTTTTTGGATTTACTAAAAAAAAAGTTGATACTGTTCAAGTAATAATTACTAAACAAGTGTCCGAAAGAGTTTTTTTGATAGGTCCAAGAAAATTTTTTACGAGATAATAAAATTTTTATAAAATAAAGCAACTGTCACGTTGAAAGTTATAAAATAAATTTAAACATTATGTTTTAAGACTTAAAAAATTTGCATCTCGTTTTTTATTTACCACCTTACCTCTAAGAATTTCGAAGGGCATTGAACAGCAATGAAAATAAAATCACAGTAATTTTTCGAAATTCGTCAAATATCATCAGTTATTGTTTATTTTTCTCGATCTTTTTTTTTACTCATACTTATACGTACAGTTTTTAATCCCAGATATCGCGACATCGTATCAACGTTACGAAATCGTTATTTACTCAATCAACAGCAATAAATATTACGAAATACCAATGTCACATGATTGTCTCATTTAATCCTACTAATTCGTGCCAAATGAGTAAATAGAACTTGCAAGAAGAAAAAAACTGATGATAAAAACTAAAAGCAGTTGCATTTACCAGAAATACTCATTGCATTTAATTCAAGACTAGTAATCATACAAAACTAATTTTTTCTTTGTATTTATTATTTTCAAAAATCGCGCGCGCAACAAGTGGGCAATTCCAATTGGGAATCCCAACATGCGCACGCATCACACACACACGTGGAAAAAGTGGAGGGGAGAAGCAGCCGTCACTAAACGAGAAATATATATGCAGTGCCCAGCTGCCCACACGTGTGGATGGATGTTGATATACAGTTGAACATCTTTTATCACGGAATTCTATAAAATTCTATCGCGTCACCGTATTTTTAACCCTGTAGATCTGCAAAAATAAGTAAAACAAAAAGTTTCTCGCTCGATCTCGAATATTGTGTGAGTACTCGCCGAGATAACCTCCAGACTCCAAGTAAGGTAAGGATGTGCCAATGGACCAATATTTCGGTTCATCTCGTTATCCACTAGCATAAATATTCTCTGTTTGAATTCCTATGTTAATTTCAGAACAAAATCGGCTTGATCAAGTATGGCGAAACGCGTCCAGCCTTCCTGGAGCCCTCCGGAAAGGAAGGACGGCCCTTCGCTCAAGCTGTACAACAGCCTCACCCGCCAGAAGGAAGAATTCGTTCCCCAGCATCGCAATCGCGTTCTTTGGTATAGCTGTGGGCCTACCGTCTATGATGCCTCCCATATGGGTCACGCGAGGTAAGTTATTGTTTTTCTTTGATTTTCCTAAAACTTGTCAAGTATACATGGAATTCCCTTGTGTTGTTTTGTTTGTGGCGTAGCTAATGCATCTAATCATCCTTAAGATCTCACAATGCGTCAAGGTTGCGTCAGCTTCAAATTATTATTTTGCTTCCGTATTGTGTATGCTATGATTCATTGTTTTAGAGGGTATTTGATCTGTAGGTGTTTGCGTGAATTTTTCTCAGAGATAAGTGTTTTCTGTTTTAGTTGCATTGTAAACAGTGTGTTTGCTCGTTTCTGTAGGTGCCGAATCAAATCGGTGCAGTGCTTTTACGTTTGTATGAGATAGCAAGTAGGTGTTCAAGGAATTCTTTTGTTATTTCAGAACATACATTTCTTTTGATATTTTGAGGAGGGTCTTGTTGGATTACTTTAACTATGATGTACTATATGTCATGAACATAACTGACATCGATGACAAGATCATCAAAAGAGCTAGACAGAATCATCTCTATGAGTGTTATGTCAAGGAAAATCAAAGTGTGGATAAATTACTGAGTGATGCCAAGTGTGTCATGCAAACTTTTGAGGATACAGTAAAAAATACAAATGATCCCGACAAGAAGAACATGTATGAAAAGATGTTGGGGAGAGTTAGGAGTTCGATTGAAAAACTCGAGGCTGCTGTGAAATCGAATAATAGTGAAGAAATCAACAAATCCAAAGAGGTGGGATTTTTTACATTTGTTTGATCCAAGATGAGACAAGACTCATTGGTTTCATTGGTGTTTTATTCTTGTTTTAAAATTATTGCAGGCTTTGTTGTATGAATCTAAAGATCCATTCTCAGATTGGCTTGACAGAAAAAAGGGCGATGAAATCAGTGAACATTCTATTTTTAGTAAGTTGTCGCAGTTTTTTGAAAATGACTACCATAAAGATATGGATGCCTTAAATGTAAGTACTTTAAAAAAGTATGACTTACTGATAAGCGTGATGATAAAATATTTGTGGTGCACGAACTTTTTCATTCATAAAATAAAATAATTTGTTTAGATTTTAAGACCCAGTGTACTAACTAGGGTCAGTGAATATGTACCAGAAATTGTTTCTTTCATTGAAAAAATTATTACCAATGGCCTTGCCTACGAAAGTAATGGATCTGTGTACTTTGATGTGAAAGCTTTTGATAAAAGTGAAAAGCATTACTATGCCAAGCTGGTACCAGAAGCTTATGGTGATACCTCATCATTGCAGGAGGGTGAAGGCAAGCCAAAACTCTTAATTACAGTATTTATTTAATTACGTTGTATTTCAAAGTTATTAAACAAAAAGTTTTGTTTTCAAAGGCGATTTGAGTGTATCTGCCGAAAGACTGTCAGAAAAACGGTCCCCCACAGACTTTGCTTTATGGAAGAGCTCAAAGGCTGGTGAGCCCTGGTGGGACTCACCCTGGGGCAAAGGCCGGCCTGGATGGCACATTGAATGCTCTGTAATGGCTTCAGCCATATGTGGCGAAAGCCTCGACATTCACACCGGTGGTGTGGATCTCAAGTTTCCACATCACGATAACGAGCTTGCTCAGGCTGAAGCATACTTTAACAATTCTCACTGGGTCAGGTATTTCCTTCACTCGGGACACTTGACGATCTCTGGATGCAAGATGTCAAAATCTTTAAAAAACTTTATCACTATTAAAGAAGCCTTGAAGAAAAATACCGCCAGGCAATTGAGACTCGCGTTTTTACTTCACTCGTGGAAAGATACGTTGGATTACAGTGATGCTACCATGGATATGGCGGTGCAGTATGAAAAATTCTTGAACGAATTCTTTTTGAACGTTAAATGTAAAATAAGGAACGTTGGCAGTGATGGCAACAGTCTTGATATTTTCGAGAAGTGGGGCGAGCGTGAACTTGACCTTAACAATAAGTTTTACACTGCCAAAGACGATATCCACAATGCTTTGTGCGGTATGTTTTTTTTTTTTTTTTTTTAGAAGGAAACTTTGTTGCCATATGTATTGAAATGCCCCAGAATACCAATGTTTGATTTGTGTTGCAGATAATATCGATACAAGAACAGTATTAGAAAAAGTTAGGGAATTAGTTACTAGTTGCAATATCTACGTAAAAGACTGCCAAAATCCCAATACTCTACTGCTCCGGGATATTGCAGTTTACATAACAAGGTTGTTCACTACTTTTGGAGCCATTAAGACCCACGATTCGATTGGTTTCCCACTTGAAAGCGAATCTCAAAATGTTAACGTAAGTTGTTGAAATTCATTACCAATAGCAACATTGTTGCCATGAACAGAGTAATAATGCATACTTATCGTTAACAGGTGGAAGAAACGGTAATGCCTTACCTCGAAATCCTCTCAAAGTTCAGAGAGAAAGTACGAGAGCTCGCGAAAACGCTGAAAGCCACAGATATTTTAAAAGAATGCGACAGGTTGCGCGACGATGCCCTGCCTAATGTTGGAGTTCGGCTCGAGGATGACGATTCGGGATGTCGCGTGAAACTGGTTAGTAAGGAAGAGCTGTTGAAAGAGCGCGAGTTAAAGAAACAGCTCGAGGCTGACAAGGCAGCTGAAAAGGAGAGGAAAAAGGCCGAGGCAGCCGAAGCTGCGGCAGCAAAGGAGCAGCAAAAGAAGGTTCCACCCAAAGAAATGTTCAAGCTGGAGAAGGACAAGTACTCCCAGTTTGATGAAAATGTAATATTTTTTCTGGATTGTTTTTAATAGTTTGTATTTAATAAACTGATAGAGAATAATATATTTTTAGGGTCTTCCTACACACGATATTGAAGGTAAGGAAATTAGTAAAGGTCAGATGAAGAAGTTGCAGAAGTTGCAACAAGCTCAAGAAAAAAGGTACAACGAGTACCTTGCCAGTTCGCAAAATGGTGCATGATAAATAATAGCTCACATTTTTGATATTGACAATGTGTATGATATAAAATATCTGCTTGAAACTCTGAAGTGTGAATATTAGTGTAATGTTTTTAGTGGCTCAATGTTTTCAACAGTTTATTTGTATTTAAAAATATTCCATGTGAATATTATTTTTTTTTCAAAACTATTAAGATTAATCAAATATTGAGCTCGATTAAAAAAAACTTTTATGTTGTGTTTACCGTATAATACTTACAAGCTTTACCTATACTTTCATGATATAACAGTTTGCATTTCTACTTGTATTTTTTCCACAATTGACAAAGAGTCAAACATGTTTATAAAAAAGTGAAAAACGAAATTTTGTAAATAAATGAGTATCAAATGCCAATTATACTGACTTTGTATTTTTTTATCGCGTAAAAAAATTTGTCGGCGTCATTTCCGTTTATTGAATGAAAAAGGAATAAACATAATTAAATTTACACGTACTGGACATCTTCTTTCCAAAAAATTCGAAAATAATGTGGAAAATTCAAGCCACGAAACAACGACCGCTCGCAGAGTTCACTGCATATCGCGATCGATTTCAGAACTGACAAACAAATAATCGAAGCCGACGACAAGGGAGAGAAGAAGAGTTTTTTCATTTTAAAGTTGGAAAAGCCCTGTCCGGCTCTCGACATTTCAGCCTTTCCATTTCAGTAGACAATGAACGCAAACACGAGGTGCCGTTCCGACTCTATTCGCGGCTTTTCCAAAGGCCACGTATCAACTCTATATAAGTATTGGCCGCAACCGCACCTCGGTACCTACCTACACTTTTTGCGCTCGAACAAGTCTGTGTGAATGGGACTCTGCAAGCTGCATCGTCGATTGTAAAACTATTAAGCTGTATTGTTAAAATAGAGTAGTCAAGCTATTTAATTGGAAAATATAGATGTATCAAATATTGATTTTCTTTTCATAAAGTTGGTAAATAATTTTAAAGAGTTGTATCATAAAATCTACCGTTTTCATCAACCCTCGACATGGTGAGCTGTAATGTGGTTGCAGCGAGAAAATTAGTTTTTTAACACTTTTTACGCATTTCATACGAATTTGTGGGCATTAAAAATAAACAACTTTAAGGTAGACGTTTATTGTGTAAGCTGTACAACTGCAACAAAAATGTATACTCCATAAACTTCAACTTTTGTTTAACGTAAAAATTAAACTACTCGTGCACAGCTGCAGTGATAATACGTACAAGGCACTTCCAGAGCGTCAAATAAGAAACTACCAACCTGTCAAGAAAAGTAATTAGAAAAATAAATTAAATTAGCAGCCGGAACATCAATTTCAGAGAGTATCTGCATCAGCACACAAGGAAGAGCGCGCGACCCTACTCCCAAAGAAGAAAAAAAATAGACGACACATCTTCTCCAATCCACCCCCCAGTACACGCACTTACAGATACAGAACACGCAGGCGAGTACCCAGAGTCTGCAGCAGTGGTGCTTCCAGAGGCAATTTTTTTTTTCTCCCCGAGAGCCATCGGCAACCCTTCCCCTAATTCCTCCGACCGTACTTACCCCTGGACGTCATTTCTCTCTCTCGCCCTTTCTTTTTTTTTTCCGTGAGCCACGCGCATCTCATGAATAATTTTTTTTTTTCCTCTCTCGGTCTCACCCACGCGCTCGCCCAGGAGTCTTCGAAGGCAGTCAGTCAGTCTCACCCTCGGCTCTTTTTTTTTTTTTTTTTTTTTTCTTATTCATCTGTGCAGTATTAGCGTCCACAGGGCTGTTGTACACCATATATACAGGAGAGTTGTAGGGAAAAAATAGGATGGGGGTGAAATGGAAGCTGCGCGCCCGGCAAGAGGGAGGTAAGCTGACGCTGCGGATATTTTCAATTTGCATAGATATTTTTTTTTTTTTTTCTTGTTTGTTTCACGAGACGAGCAAAAGACGAGGAGGATCCCTGTAGGATGACTACTCTTATCATCCTCTCGTACTGCCTCGAGTTTAATTTCGTTAAATTAGCCGAGTGCGCGCGGAACAGTGACTCGAGCATTTTTTTTTTTCTTCCTCCTTTTTGGCCAGTGTCGAGCTTTTCTTTTTTTTTCAATCATCGGTGTGCAGTACTTGCTAGCATTTTATTAGGCGCCGGGAGAGCAATGTTTTTTCAAGAGGTTTCGGCCAATATACATACTTGTAAAAATGTTCGAATTAATCACTGGTAAACAAACCACTTTTTTTTTTGTACATCATGTATGTCACGAACAAAACAGCCGTACCATAGGCTTGGAAAAAAAAAAAAAAAAAAACAAATCTAAAAGAAAGCCACCCCCCGAGTAATCCCCAACAAATTAAAAAGAAGAAAAAATGGAAGGGGGAGAAAAACAAGGAAAGCTCGCGTCCCTCAAGACAATCGCAGTTCGAGATGGTCCAAACGAGATCGTACAAGGGTTGAAGACTGCGTACCGCACCTACTACCCTGAAATTTCGGTCGTGCGCGTATGGTCGTAGCAAAAAAAAAAAAAAAAAAAAAAAAAAAAAAAAAAAAAAGAAGGAAGCGAAAAGCCAGCCCGAGGGTCTCTCTCGGATATTAAAGAAGAGCAGAGAGAGAGAGAGAGAAGAAATAGCATCCAAGGGGCGCGAGACCGGACTCTCGCTTAAATCCCTGTAGATAAAAAAAAGGGGGGGTGGGTTGGGGGGCGACCCCAGGCGCGTTGACTCACCCACACGATATACACACCGCGTGTGTCAGCTTCACCCCCAGCGATTTCTTTTTCTCTCCAACGGCTCACCGTACCCTTTCCGCCTGCGCGCCCCGTAGCCGAAGGGAAAAAAAAAAATAGGGTACGAGAATCCTTTCGCTCAACCCTATACGGCCCCGATGCTGCGCGCAGATACCACCCCCCCCTGGAACTGTCTCTTCCGAGGGACGGAAAAAAAGGGGTTCGCGGACGAGAAAGGAGAGACCGATGCCTGTAGTTTCTTTTTGCCGCTCGCGCGCGTGTGTGTGAGTAGCTTTTCCGCGTCCCGAAGGACTTTGCTCCCCCCCCCGCGCCCCCCTTTTTTTTTCGCTTCCTCGGGTCCCTTTGGTGGCAGCGGCTATGGGTTTTTCTGTACGCGTTGGGTATATTTTTTTTGGCCTCGCGTGTGGACAAGTGTTCTCGTGCGTCTCTGATCTTTTGCCGTTTATTTTTATCCGACGTAGCGTATGGCGATCGGATCGTGGGTGGCTTCCGTAGATGCGCTTTTTCGATTAATTATTGATTTACACGCTCACCCGTACTCGAGTTTCATTTGTCGCTCTATGGGAAACATTTTCTGTTTTTCCCTTTCATCACGATTCATAATGGTGTCTTTGAGAATATTGCTTCGTAAAATTTGCTCGCTGCACGTAACCGTTGCCGTATATGGCACGTGGATGGGGTGAATGTTGACTCAATGCACTTACGGGTGTATACCTAATTGGGGTAATTTATTTATATACGAATGCGCAGGTTGGACCGACATTTATTTAATTCTCCGTAAAACAAAATTGCGTACTTTTACAAAATGTAGGACCAAATCGTACCTCACTTCGAATGATGATGCAAAAAAAGACACTAGTATAGGAGTAAGATTTCTTTTTTTCTTTTTCTTTTTTTTTTTTTTAACTTAAATTATAATACCAACTCACACACCTGCAAGAGTTAACCCCCATGATAATTATGTGACAGACAAAAAATGATTTCGCCCCGCTTCGCAATACCTTGACATTGATAATATTATTGGAACAACCCATGATTAACAAGGATTTGTTATCTCTGTATGCGAGTATTTTAACGTGTAAGTATAATAGGTGTGCCATTTCCGTGCAAACAATCCGAGACATTGCGGGCAATAAATGAGTGATCGTTGTGAGGTTCTGCCTCCCTTCGGGCTTCTCCCTCTCAGCCAACGAAAGTTATGCAAGGGCTCAAGAACAACATCGGGACACACCACCCAAAATGGAGATCCTCCCGCACCCACTCGTTCATTACCACCCTTGGCATTTTTCACCGGTCGCGTTTCTTATAATTACTTGCGAGATTTTTCTTGTTTCTTTCCTTCCAACTTTACAAAGCAGGGGCAGGAGGAGGAGGAGGAGGGAAGAAGGAAGCTCCTTTTCCTCGAGAGAGAGAGAGAGAGAGAGAGAGAGATAATGGAAGAGCGCGAGGGGGCGGCCTCTTCGCGGGCACCAATCGCCCTCGTCTGAGCCACAACTTGCGAATCATCCTCGTGAAATTAAATGCTCTCGCGCGTGTGCAACATCGCTTCTTAACTCTGACTACTCGCGTTTCGGAATATCCACATGTAATATATATATATATATATACACACATCTCCTCCACCTTTGCTACTATATGTACATATGTATATATATCGGGTATTACCCATCTCCACCTCCGCTTCTGATTGAAATCCTTAACCCGCTGCAGTAAACCGAGCGCGACTCGCTTCAACGACCCCCTGGAAGAAAGAGAAATAAGATCTTTGTACGTGTATTCCTCCCATGTTTGTTATTCGCTCGCAAGCTGTGCCGCTGTAAAAAGCTCTCTCTCAAAGAAAGTGAAGTGCGAAACGGAGAGAGAGAGAGAGAGAGAGAGAGACATTAATGCCCACGCGCTCGCACATATCGGTGCATGCAGGGTCTTATGTATATACCTATACCCATGTTTACCTACTTTGAATGCGATATATTACGTAGTACGGCTCGTACACTTGGTATATAGTTTTTATCGCCTACTATATTTATAACGGTGGTATTGTTAAATGGCATGTACCTACAATGCCCGAGCCGTGTCTGCAAACTTGAGTAGAGGAAGGGGATGTTTTTGACACCTCTTTTGCATTGTTGTATCTGGAGATTCAGGGAATATTATAGAACCTTTTTTTAAAGTTAGTTTTCATCTCAAACGTGATTTTCGTCATCGGAGATCGAAGCAAGAATCTATACAAGTATACCTACACTTGTTCGATAGCTCAGTACCGTTCCTTGTGTATGACTTTGAGCGTATTTTCTCACGCACGAGTAACACCGAGTAGTTGTCAACCAATGTTTTTTTTTTTTTTTTTTTTTTTCCTCGTTTTTCAAGGACGAGAATCGCCGAAACGGCGGCAAAGGGAGGAGAAGGAGAAAAAAAAGGCAAAAAGCCATTTGGCAGCGTAACTAATTCCCAGGGCAAAAAACACAATGTATTATATGCTCACCCAGTACAGTGCTCGTGTGCAATTCTCTCTCTCTCCCTGGTGGTAATTTCGGCTTA